CCCGGACATGTCTGGCTTTTGGGGATTTCCCCCCGGACGGGGATTTGAATCCCCAAAAGCCGGACATGTCCGGGAAAATCCGGACGTATGGTAACCCTACTCATGCAGGTTATGCACAGCATTGGCTCCTCCATGGATTACAGCAAAGTATTCCCGCTGGAGACTGCAGTTGCCACTGTGGTTCTCCACCACATAGAACTGACTGAAGGGTTGTACATTTCCCCCAAGCCTCGTCAAGGGTAGGTTTATAGTTTGTGCTGCCAATATCTGAAAAAACAGCAGGCGGCAAAAGTACCTACAGTTACAGTCTGCTATTATGACAAGGATTAGTGTGATGTGTCTAGTAGTGGTGCCCAAGACAGAGACTACACTAATGGTGACACTGATGAATAAATATTTTCAGTTCAACATGTCAAGGCGAGCTTCCCTAGGATTACTAAAGCTCACGGTCTTTTATGTAAGCAATGCATCTGTGTTAAATTATAAAAAGTTAATTTTTAAACATTTTATCAAATTTATATGTACATAACTGTTCTAGGTTTGTCAAGTTTGGTACCATTGCAGTCTTGGGAGAAAGTGGCTTTGGAATGATACATAACTTGACCCATTTCTGATGCCACTGCATTATCAAAAGACTTTGAGCTGGGAGCCAGTGAGTCCCCGCCCCCCCCCCCCGCCATGCTGCAGAGGCACCACCATTGAAATTACAATTCTCTAGATTTTTATCAGATGACACCTCCTTTACCTTTCTATCACTAATTTGCTCAGATAATGAGATTTTACTGTACCATGATCCCAGACTACCTCCTTTGTTCTAGATCTAGACTGATTATTTCTTAGATGTACTGTTTCTGTCATGTAATCTAATCCCTTGACAGAGTAGCCAACAAATCAGAAAAGAAAATGCTCAATTTATGGTGGGGATCTTACTTTCTCAGTGTTCAGAGCCTTGTTTGTCAGCAGCAAACACCCTGCTTACAAGATAGTTCAGCTGGTCTTAGTCACGTGTTACCCAAGGTAGTCTGATTTTGGCAGACACAGTGTATGCGGTAATTGTCCCTGGATGACTATGGGAAGCTTTTGTTAACTGGATAAGTGATTGCCTACTTAGGTTCTTTACCCCATATCCACATTTTCTATTGCAACCTTCACATTCTGGCCCAGACAGCCTACCACAGGTGAAGTTAGTTCTCTGGGAAGAAGTCTGAAAAGGTCAGCAATTTTATTTCCAGAGACCTGGTATAGCCATTGTTTACTAGATGATTTGGAAGTAGGGGGTAGTGTAATTTCTGGGCATGTTCCCATCAATAAATTCTTAGGATTTTCTGCTCAAGGCTTTAATGTGATACACTATCCAGGTTACATGCAACACTATATGACAAGTTTATGCTCCTATCTCATCTAGAAGGCCTTTATTTAATAGTCCCCTGCTTATGTCTCTACTCTCATTTCCCCCTCCTATATGCCACCGAAGGGTATGTCTTCACTGCTAAGTTAGCTCAGGTGATCAGCAGCCAGGTTAGCCTACCTCTGCTGTGAGCATTCCCCACTGCAAAACCATACCTGGATAAATGCACTCACTGTTTCTGCATTCACCCATGTGTATCTGGGGACATATTCCCTGGTTCTTTGTGATGAGATGCTCTAGGATTCTTTCCTAAAGGGTGGGAGAATTTGAGAGACAAGGTGGGTAAGGTAATCTCTTTTATTGGACCAACTTGTGTTGGTGGGCGAGACAAGATTTCAAGCTACAGAGAGCTCTTCTTCAGGTCTGGGAAAAGTACTCACAGGTAAACACAAGATCAAACAGTTTAGCGCAGGGGTTCTCAAACTGGGGGTCGTGAGGTTATTACATGGGGGGTCATGAGCTGTCAACCTCCACCCCAAACCCCGCTTTGCCTCCAGCATTTATAATGGTGTTAAATATATTAAAAAGTGTGTTTATTAGGGGGGTTGCACTCAAAGCCTTGCTGTGTGAAAGGGGTCACCAGTAAAAAAGTTTGAGACCCACTGGTTTAGCATAAGGAGTTAGAATATGTGCTAAGGGACCATTCACATTGCTAACTACTATGCTAAACTATCTGTTTGATCTTGTATTTAGCTGTGAGACTCTGAGGCTATGTCTACACTAGTACTTTTGTCAGTATAACTTATGTCACTCAGGGTGTCAAAAAAAAAAAACCACCCTCCCAAGCAACATAAGTTACACTGACAGAAGAACCGGTGTGGACAGCACTATGTTGGTGGGAGATGCTCTCTCATTGACATAGCTACCGCCACTTATTGGCAGTGGTTTAATTATGTCAGTGGGAGAGCTCTCTCCTGTCAGCATAGAGCGGCTACACTAGAGATCTTACAGCAGTGCGGCTGATTTTTGCAGACCTGAAGATGAGCTCTGTGTAACCCAAAAGCTTCTCTCTCACCAACAGAAGTTGGTTCATTAAAAGATACTACCTCACCCACCTTGTTGAATATCCTGGGACAGACACAGCTACAACAACATTGCAAATGGAGAACTTGTTTGTCCTTCAGGGAGAATTACAGGAAGGGCATTGGAGGACTGTCAGCACTCGAGCGATTTAGCCTGCATCTTCACTGAGAAGTGGGCAGATTCAGCCTGAGTTAAAGCAGAGCTCAGGCTCTAATCTACACCCCCCAGCCGAGTCAGCTATCATTGTCTGAAATCACCTTTAAACCCAGGTAGCCTATGTGGAATTAAGGCTAAAACTCATGTAAGAGCTCAGCGAAACTGTACAGTGAAGATATATCCTAAGTATGTTTGTTCTGGTTGCTCCCTGCATCTTTTTCCCATTCTCAGCTTCGCACCTCTTCAAGCAATCCCTTTAAAGTCTTGTCTGTGCTGTTTTCCCTGGAGAATGTTATGGAAAACTAGAAGGGACTGACATAATAAGTGTCAAGAAAATCAAACCTGGGCAGCTGAAGGCAGGGAAATTTTAGTCAGGATGTTGAAATATAGAAATAGGTACTTCTTTCTGGGCAAAGAGTTGTTTGGGCTTCAAAATCATTTCTACTTCCCTCCCACAACACATCAGCTGCTGAGAGCATTATAAAAGCAAGATGTTCAGTCTCTGGAATACAAGCAGCAAATAACTTAATAATCAAGATGTTAGAGCACCCCGCAGACTCAGGTGGGAGGAATAAGTGAAAACCTCTATTGGGACTGGCTTTCCTCATGAAATTAGTGGTTTGAGTCTGAGAATCAGATGATGAAGTTATATTCATGACAGAGAATGAAGAAGAGGAAACTTATTTTAAATTGTACCTAAATACTTTCTTTAAGAATGACTTAATACACTCATACCAGTGAAAGAAAATTGTGTACTTCTTGGCTTATTTTTTGCACCTCTGCCATTGATTTACTTTACCTTCCTATTTCCCTAGTGCCTATTGTAAAATTGAATTAGGGAAGAGGAAAGTGGATTACAAATATGCTTAGAATGATCATTGTCAAAATTACATCATATTTCATAGTGAGTAGTCTAAGTCACTCAAACTAGGGTCTGGGGAGTATCAGTTTTCAGACTTGAAATGTTTTGAGATACCTAAATGTTGGGGAGGAGTGACTGAGCAAAGGGGAATTCTAACAGGAATACGCAGAATGAAAAAGCTGGACAGATTTAGTCAAAACTTTAGAAAACCATGAGTCAGGGTGAATGGAAACTGCAGAAACTACTTGTTCTGTTGTAACAACTGCATGGGGGTTTCCTACTGTGGAGACATGGTAGGCAGAGAAGTTAGTCAGTCCAAGATTAAATTCTGCAAGTTGAAATGTAAAAGTACATCAAAGTTGAGTTTTTTATTTATAACAACAAATTCACTATATATTATAATAATTACAAAAATATTTTTGTATAACAGCTTATGGTCACATCACATTTTTGTTCTCATAACACATAAGATGATCAAACACTTGAGTTCTGGCAGTAGCTAACAAAGCAGCCAACTTTTAAAATCTACACAGCTGGACACATTTTTTGTGCCTTAATAGAAAGGCTATTATCAAAAGAGTGAAGTTATTAACAAACATCCAAGGGGATTCCCCTTACAGCTTCTTTTCCAGAAACTTATTTTGTCTAATGCATAGTAAAAAAATACAGTTTACAAAAAACAATCACTGGAAAGCTGGCAAAGCTCTCCCCGACAAAAGGTTACCACCAATTTTTGCTTGTTTTAATTGAGCATCTAGTGGATGATATCTAGAGCAACAAAAAGTTTACCATTTTAACATCACCATCCTAGATCTAAACAGGCTGTGTCTTCTCACTGCACAGTGAAGCCAACGTATCAGGCTGGTATTGCAGCTTTTGATGAACAGTGTCCAACTCGCCTTCACCAGAGGAAATAAAAGTCTATTTGGTTGGGATGTTGTCCCTTTTCGGTACTTAATCTGAGTCACTACTGCTGCTTGAGGAGTCTGTTGACATAACTTCTACATCATCTTCATTTTCTTTATTGTGCCCTGGAGGCTCCAACATAAAGTCATTGCTATGATTAGGAGGTAGCATGTTCATTGAGATATCACTTGACTGCCAGGGATATTGAGGAGCAAGCACATCTGAAAAATAAATACAATGCTTTGGTAGCATAATCATTAGCTGAATATCAGCCTTTTAAATGGAGACGCCCATGCATTTGAAAACAGGCTCAGCTGCATGTACTGTTAAAAACATTTTCAAAAGTTTTGTTTTCAGTGCCAAACTATTCTCCCAATCCTCATTCTTGAATTTTTAAACAAGTTAGCTGAAACAGTTCACTTGGCAGCTGAAGCCTCTTGTAAATGAGCCATTCTAATACTGTAAGGCCTGTTCCATCAGAGGTACTACTTTGATAGACAGAACAGAATCCACCCTTCTCTACTGTGATCACACACATTTAAAAATATCAAAATAATGTTTGTACAGTGCTTTATATCTTCACAGCCTGTCAAACATTAACTAACCTTCACAAGACTGCTGAGAAATGAGTGAATGTTATCACTTTAAGGACACAGGCTAAGTGACTTGCCCAAGACTTCACAGCCAGGAGTAGAACTGAATTTCTGGTTTCCAGCCCAGTATTTATACAAACACATTTTCTCTAGAACAGCTACAACAACACTTTTGGTTTTAGATGTACCCCACCGTAACAATCTTAACCTTTGAAAACAAACTTTTCATAACTACAAATGGTTAGACAGACAAGAACCAAAAGATCTTTTAAACTCCAATATAGACGTTTTGTTCTTTAGTCAACTCCTGGAAAGGTAAAAACCACCAATCACCTAGCATAACTTATTAGCATAACATAATGTATTCTTAGTTCACTAATAAGATTTTTAAACCAGAATATAGTTTAGCAATCATGATTGAATCCAAGATAGACCACTGTTACTGGCCATTTCAATAATCAAGTATTAAGGAATTAATCCTTAATTCATACACTCAAAACACCACAGTATTTAAATTGGTTTCATCACTAAGAATTTATCTTAAGTGGTAAATATTAATTCACCAGTTCTAGATCTGGAACGTCTAAACACATTTGTTATTCTATTGATATAGACTACAAATTAAAGAAGGGAAAAAAGTCTTCTGACTTCATACATATCTGAACTTCCCTTTCATGATTCAAGACAAGATATTTGTTTTCATTGTTAAGAAAGTAGTAATTTGCTCTGAAAATTTTCCATATTTTAGTGTGTGATTTTAAAATAACCAGTTTACTAGAAATTACACAGAAATGGATTGGAAGCTGAAAGCCTACATATTTCTCCTTTCATGAGTGAAATTTTTTCCACTGGTTTGCCAATATGATCCAGTTATCTCAATTTGATTTAGCAGTGGGACAAATAAAACAGAATACATTTTCTCTTGCTCTTCTATATCACCATGCCGGTCTTTCAAACTTCTTACTTTGTTTAATAATCCCTTAATTCCAGGGAACTAATCCACTGCAACGTCAGCCAGAATTTTTAGCTGTTTTAGTTCTGTCTTGCTATCACTGAGGGACACTTTGGAGGTGAATTAAATTCATAATTGCTATGGTTATGGCATTTCTTTTATTCATTGCATAAACATCTGAGTACTTCCATTACCTGGCAATCTGCCTGCTGCAAGTGCATCCCCTGGCAAGTGTCCATTAACTCCGTTAGTGGATGGGTTGTTCATCTGACCCAAAAGGCCACTCCTCATCTCCAAATCTGTAGGATATGGCCTGCGTGGGTCCCCTTAAAAACAAATAGTTTTTTATATGATTAAAACAAAGCTAACATCTGCAGGATAACTATCAGCTATTTAGTGCTAGTCTTTTTCTTTAATGCTTTTCGAACAGAAAATTGTGTTGATTGTTCATATCAGCAATGGGAAGCACACCTGTTCTGTGAGAAATTAAACCAAAATATATTCTCCATTTACAATCTTCTTTTATTCAAGCTTGGCAAAAAGAAGTACACAAGAAACTCACTGTAGTAGAAGATATATCTCTGTTCTCATTGCTACTATTAGCAAGACTTCATTTCAGTTCTTGGCCTTGCTCTTTAGCCAAGTACACATTCTGATCTGCTGCAGGATGGCTAGGACCCATCACTGAACATTCCTTGCCTCTGGCTCCCAATAATTTCTATATAGTTTCCACATCCCTGATGAGTGCAGTGGTATCAGAGGAATGTGAATGAAGAGACAGTCCTAATGTTTTCACTCCTCAGCTCATAGAGAGCCGAGAACCTGGTTCTGACCCATTAATGGCTTTAATTAGGACCAAGACCTTGAATTAGACCCCATAGAAAACAGGGATTCAATGGAGGACATACAGTACCAACTTATTAATGGAGTCCAGGAGCTGAGAGTTTTGTAGCTATTTAAAGCCACATATAAAATTTCCACAAAATTTTACTCCAAGGTATTCAACAAGGAAAAAAATAAGGTAAGTATTTAAATATCTCAAGGGGAAAAAAACATTTTTAATATTGGAAAGCTTTATAAAATCCAAGCAAAATACCATTTGTCATGACACAAATACTAAATGGTGGTGTTTAATTATTGCTCCTATATTAAAATGAAAGGACATTTCCATGTCATGCCATCAATGAAAGTACAACAAACTCATACAGCTTATTTGTCAAACATGAAATTTACCTGGTACCCATGTCAGAGGAGCACAAACAGCGTTGCTGGCACTAATCCTGTGGGCATATTTAATTATTTCTTCAGATGAAACAGCACCTGTGAAAGGGGAAAAGAAGTTAACAGGGGAAATGCACCCTGATTAGCATACTCTCAAGATATTGCCTGATTTGATAGTTTTAGATTATTTAACACTTTGATATTCCAAATAGAGATCAACGATGTAACATTTTAACAGAACTTCAAGGGTATCCCCAATAGGCAGACATTGCAGAGGATAGTGTCACAGTTCAGGGCAACTGCACCTGTATTTCCCTTCTATGGCCCAGCAAGGGCAACCCACTCAAGGCTTCATGCTCGTCTGGCCATCACCCCTTGAGTGGAGATACTCATCTCTCTCCCTTCTGAACAGGCTGAACAGTTCCCTGCCTTTACTGTATTATTCCCAGCAGAGACAGGTTGCCTAAACTGGCCTGCTGGCTTTCTTTTCAGATACTAACAACAGAGTAATTGCCCACAGTTTTAAGGTATCACAGAGTTCTTCCTATGCAAGCCTATTTTATTCTTGTTAAAAGTACTACAGAGAAAACATTAACAACAATAAAAGAACTTACACATCTGCTAATAAGATTACCAGATCACCCCAACTTTAACAAGGGCTCTGACAGGAGCAGTCCTTCAGTACCCAACCCAAGGGGTTTCCTTGTGGTTTCAAGTTCATCAGGGCTTCAGCTCAGAACAAGCACACTGTCTTATGGGGCCTCAATCCTTCCCTAAGGATTGGGGCCCTCCATAGACCAGAGGTCCTGTCCATCTGCTGGATCAGGAAGAAGGCTATAAGCCTATTTTAAACCAGGCTATTTATCCAAAAACCCTTTCTTTGTCTGTTGGTCCCTGGAGAATCCAGTTTGAACTAGTATATGTGCACCTCTCCAAGTGGGGGCTTCATAGGGCTGATAACCAGAAGAATTGCATTATCACCCCCCTCCTTCTCCTAGAGGAGCTACATACAATAACACATACACAGTTGCATTTTTAATACAATGGATTCCAAAGGTATTAAACCTAATTCAGTAAGGTTTAACCTAATTCAATAAAGTTTATCTTAATTCCAGGAAGTTTGTCCAGGACATTGCAGGATACTGTCAGTCTGTCACAAACAGCTTAACAGAAGGACCTGGTTTGCAATATATTGACTCTAAAACTACAGATTCAAATATCACAAAAGTCAGCTAAGTTTTTCAACCTTGTGAGGTAGGCTGATTTACATGCAGTCTACTCTGTAAAGTACACTGAGATCTACTGATTTAAAAAGTCTGTATAAAAGCTAGGTGGATCTTTCATAGGAGACTTTTAGTACCCATACAGAAGCTGGTTGTAAGATGCCATGGCATTTTTTGTTATAGTAGGGACTTGCCCTAGAGTACTTAATAAACTTCTCTCCCTTTTTCTCCTACTATCATGCAGTGTACATGTTCCAGATGGCAGTCACTCTCCACTCCATAAGTGACTACATTTCAAGCAATGTATAATTTGTGAAATGCCCTGAGATCATTTTGAATGAAAGTCACAAATAACTATAAAATACCTTCCCACCTATTTTGTAAAAATGACTAGCTTAGCTATGCAAGTACTACAGTTTTACTGCAAGTACTGATTTTACGAGATACATAGTATATTGCTAAAAGAACAGGAGTACTTGTGGCACCTTAGAGACTAACAAATTTATTAGAGCATAAGCTTTCGTGGGCTACAACCCACTTCTTCGGATGCATATTGAGTGAAACATATCGAGGAGATATATATACACACATACAGAGAGCATGAACAGGTGGGAGTTGTCTTACCAACTCTGAGAGGCCAATTAAGTAAGAGAAAAAAAACTTTTGAAGT